CTCATTTCCAAGGATGCACAGAGCGCAGAGACCACTGAATCTGTGCCCCAACATTTCACACTGGTTTCCGGGTTGCAACATGTTCACATTCTGAGTCACCTACACCTATACAGCTCAAGCCACCTCTGTTAATGTGCGGCAGCGCCCTTCGAATTCTGTTGCCGACTACTAACATCACACCCTCATGTGTCCAAAACAAGGTAGGCAAGATGCAATCACGCACAGTATCCCAAATTGGAAATAACTACAAGTGCTTGGAGAAGGCATCCATGATGCTCACCTTGGCCTCCCCATGCTACTGTCAATTCGCCAGAGCACACTGACATCTGGGGATTGGCATCGTGGTCACACATAAGTGATTTTTGTCGTCCTCTTTCCCATGTATAGAAAGCTAATCACAATCGCTACGTCCACGGCACTCATGAAGCGATCATTCTACTGATTATCTGTCTGACGGAGCCATACGAGCGTGCAGCATAAGAGAATGAAGCAGCTCCGATAATTGAACGACAGCTCCGATAATTGAACGACGGTCAATTTTAGTCACCCTGTCCGCCCTCCTGACTGTCGCTTCCAGACAACTGTTCGTCCTCACCCCCATCCTTTCATCTTCCTCGCCTCCAATGGACATTCCCTGCCCCTGTGCTACTTCCGCTCCTGGGCCATCCCCAGCTCCGTCAGCAGTGCCAGGGGCATCAGGATCCACCGTTGATTCCTGATTCGAGCCAATTCCTGCGGCGGCCTCATGATGTCCGTTCTCCACCAGCTCGATGGCTGCATCCGCCCCCTCTGCGTGCCTCTCGTCATTCCCATTGGGCTCAGCAGACTCATTTTGTACCACCTCTTGATTTGCAGCACTGCTGTTTCAAATAACCGCAAGAGCATCATCACCGTCAGAAGCTGCGCTGTCATCCTGGTTGGTGTCACCGACTGCATTGTGATTTGTACTTTCTATTTCTGCCACGCTCTCCTTTGAGGGAACGGCTCCGGTCAAGGACCCTGCCGGCAGGGTGGCTGCATGCAGTCCGGGCCCCTCCACTTGCTTTCTGAGGCGCCGTCCTGTCGGGATGCAGAGTTCTCGATCAACCACCCGGCAGTATCTGCGGCTTCCACTGAGACAGGCACGCTGCTGTGCACGCCGCCTGTCACAGCAACGAAAACGTGTGGGGAAATGTGCTGGACAGACTTGACTGCAGCGTGGAATCTGCTGCCAGGACCCGTTGCTCAAAATAGCAATGTTCCCTGTCGCATTTCATGTGGCAGATACAAAGCATGGATGGAAATTCGGTTGTTGGTAGCGACTGTGGTACACCGTTCTGTAGCTCACAACGAGAATAACAAAGCACTGGCCGTCGAATCCGGCTTGGTCTTCAGCGGGAGGCTGGCGCGCAGGTCGCGGTTGGTCGGGGTAGGGCAATCCTCCTCATCACTGTTACGTAACCAGCCAGGGAAGCAGCCGCCACCTTCAAAGGTGGAATAGGAATTCCAATTCTACCCGACTGTCCATAATTTTGGGTTCAAACCCAATGCGTAAAGCAAACAAAGCCCGTATTTGTATCCATTCCTTTTTCAGTATGCTTGTTGCTTACGTTTACATGTGGATTTGCACGTTTAGGTTTTTGTGTGTAAGTACGTTTTTGCGACAGTGCTCCTCAACTGCTCATTTGGGATATTATGGCCCTGAACAACTATTTCTGCAAAGTGCCAAACCGCGGGGTTTTGCGGCAGCGTTGTTTCTGTTTGTGGCAAGGGTCATGGCTAATGTGGAAACTTCTGAAACCATTCAGACAATTGATCCAATGAATTCATTACGCGCTGTGCTGGTGGGAATATGCTGCCGATTTCTGTAGATTTGTTAGCACAAGTGCTGCTTTTCTTCCAGCATTTTCATTCTCTTTAGTTTGCCAAGGCTTCAAGATCATGGTTCTGTCTTCAACAAGAATTTTCTGGGCAGTATTGCGATGGCTGCGTTGGACATTACATGGTTTCTTTGGAAATAAAGTTGATGCAAGAGAGGAGCTCCTATTTACAACGCTCCTTTTTTAGTGTAATTTTGAAGACTACAAAAAGCCAGAGATTATCTCTTCGGGCATATTCAGAAGCTGTTATTTGATGAATAATCTAATCTCTTTCCTTCACCACAGTATGCGGTAGATAAAATAATTCCGCATGTTCTCTCAATTCGGATATGGCTGATGTGGACTGCAAATACTATAAGCAGCGGCAGCAGCACCGCCATCACCACCACCAGAACCAGCAGCAGCAGCAGCCGCGCGTGTCTCACGCACAGCGACTTTCAATCGTAACAAAACTGCAAAGAGTTATCGGCTAGGAACGGGCCACGCAATTACTCAAATTCATGTGCCAACTCATAGAGACCTGCTCACAAACGCTGCTGTCAATTGTGGAGCTGATCAGCCGCTCAACTCACCTACACCAGAATATACCATCTACCTATAAAAAATTTTAACTGCAAACGGAGTCTCCGTTTCTCATAATCAACAGGATTTTAGGTGAAATATGGAGCAAAAATTTTTATGCACTATTTTTGATACACAGTAGCCTAGCATCGCAGCAACATCCACGCAGTGTCCACGCAACGTTAGAACTCGCATCCGCGCTCTCCAACATACATTCACAGCTATTTCCACGTGGCTTCTCAGCACTGCAACAACAAATGCACCAACAATGTTCCATCAGCTTGTCCCAAATTTCAGGTAATGCATTCACGCAAATACGCATTTTTTCGCTCTCCATGGTCTCTCCACAAATCGTGATGTGGGGCGGGGTGGGGTCGCTCTTGCGGGAAGGCTTTAAAACTCGCCCGCGAGAACGCCTCCACTCGCGGGGTGTGTGGCTCGGGGCCAACGCCGGGCGCAGGCGGCCTTGCTCAGGGGTGGCTGGGCGTGGCGCAGCCTCCCTCCCGGCCTCGCTGCCGCGGCCGGACATCGCCTGGCTGACCCGCGATGGGGCGGCCGCGTTTTCTGTCGGACCGGGGGAATGTTGCCGCCCGGTGCCACGTGGCGTGCTGCCACGGCGGATGTTACAGCATATATACCGTGAAAGGCCTGTTTCCATCAGGCCTGGTAGCCTCGTAGTTGGTAGTCTGGCAGGGGTTCGGTCGGGGAGGCGGAGTGCGGACTCGGTCGGGCCTCTCCCCGGCGGTGACGAGCGGCGAGCGGGCCCCTGCTGGAAAACCAATTTCGTGCGTGGCTGCCAAAGCTCAGGGTTTTCGGGCGCCTCTCTCTATTTTTACTTGAATTTTTTCAATTTTTGCGATCGCCACTAAGGAGGCGCGGGATCGATCCTTGCTGAGACAGCTCTTTTTGCCTGCCCTTTTTTCCCTGTCAGTGACCGAAAGTCGGCCACTGCCTTTCCGGGGGGCCGTTATTTGGTCGTGGGCCAGTCGCCGGGCGGCCCTCCAAATTTGGGCGCCAAGCGCGCAGTGGCGGCGAAGCTGGCCCTCGAATCCCGCCTGGCCGTCAACGTGGGGCTGGCCCGCGGGTCGCGGATGGGCGATTGGGCCAATCCTCCTCATCACTGTTACGTAGCCAGTCAGGGAGGCAGCCGCCACCTTCCTATTCTGCCCAACTGTCCGTAATTTTGCCTTCAAACCCAATGCTTGAAACAAGCAAAGCCCAGAACCATATCCATCCCTATCTTCAACAGGCTTTCCATTTAGGTATGCGTATCCATGTGATCGTTTAGGTTTGTGCACGTAAAGTCGCTTTCGCGCCAGTGCCCCTCAACTGCTCATTTGGGCGATTATGGCCCTGACCAACTTGTCCTTCGATAGTCCCAAACCTCGGGCTTTTGCGACAGCATTGTTTCTGTTTGTGGCAACGTTCATGGCTAATATGAAAACTTCTGAAAGCATTCAACCAATTGAGCCAATGAGTTCATTGGGCGCAGTGCTGGCGGAAAGATGATGTCAATTTGCTGCAGATTTGTTGGGCAATTGCTGCCTTTCTTCCAGCATATTTATCATGTTTAGGGTGCCAGCTCCGACCTTGCGAGTGCTTTCGCATGGGATTCTGGTTTAGAATTTGGCCTCCTCTGTTATCTGATGTGGTCGTGACCACGCTAACGTTTCCTTAGGTGCATGCTGCTAAACAAGCAACGCGGCTGCAGCAGCAAAACTCTGTGTTTTCTCCGCTAACGAATGCTGAGCACCCCGTATATGAATCTGGGGGCAGACAATTTGAACGGCAACATCGATGGCGACGAAAGAGGGGAATTTCCCCAATTTAAAAATATTGTTCAGAAATCCCTTGAAATTGTACACGTTGAATCTGGAGCTGTGTTGCGAGGCGTTGCTCCAAGCCATCCACTGCAATTCCCCATTTCAACGCTAGCCATTTACTGCCTCCAATGCCCATTAACCGCAAAACTGGACACCACCCCCACCCAACCCCAGTAAAATTTGAATAAGGCGAGTGTTACGACCAAGCAGCCAATTAACGCAAATCGCTCGCAGCGTTTTCGACGTCGACAACGTTTCCACTTCACTGCAGCGGTCTTCAAGTGGAGAAATCTTCCCGCGTGTGACTCGCCCGCCTTATCCTCCATGCAGTGTCTCCGTCCCTCTCAACGATACTGGAAAACCAATCACCATTTCCCTGAAGCCCGGCCAACAGCAGGCGGGTGCGCGAAGTCGCGCCAGTCGGAAGCTATGTCCATACTTTTCCCAAAGCACACCAACATCGGTTCCCTTTAAGTCCATCCCTACGACTATGTACAAGATAGGCGCATCAATCCAGTTCTACTGTAAGCAGCCAACACGCCAACAACTGCTCTCCTTATGGCATCCTCGCCATTCCACCGCCATCTCTCCCCTACCCGGCCCCTCACCCACAAAACAAGCATCCACGATGTCTCGCAGGCTTCGGCCCAACAACATTCTCACCAGGCAAAACGGCAATTGACAGAACGCTTATTCACGCGTTGATCAGCGCATGCAGCAGGGCTGCACCAAGGTCTGTGTCTAGCACCAAGGCCTGTCAGAGCGCAGCACCGAACTCCTGGGACGCTGATCCATTCAGAACTCCGTGCGTCTTTATCATCTCCTTCAACCGCATCCTGCTGGGCAGCGGCATGTTGCCCGCGTACGTGAACAGCTGGCCCCCCATGAGCTCACCCAGCTTCACTATGAGGTTCATGTTGGCCGCCCGCACGTCCTGTTCACGTTTACGACGATCTCCAGCAGTTTGTCCAGCAGCACCGACTTGCCCCTCAGGTTGCCGTGGCCGGCGCAGTGGCTGAAGTTCTGGAGCGCGGGACACGACAGCGAGTTCAATGACACGACAGGATCAACTGATGTGGCCGCGGGCAATGTGTTCAGAAGGTGTAGATCAGCGGACAGATAGCCAAGCAGAAAAGGAACGATGCATGGTTTCATGTGCTGCTTGTGGTAATGGCATGCGCCAAGACTACAACGGGGGCTCTCAATATGACGGTGGCCTATGGTTCTGGCCTGCCATCCCCAGCTGTCTTCATGGCTGCACCAATGTTCTAATGATGCCTTTACTGTATTATAGTTTTTGGTATGTCTTAATTTCGACCCATCAACGACATTCGCAGTCAACAGCAATTATATACCATTAGGAAAACATGTGTCTCTCCAAGAAAATGGACTAAACTTTACCACAAAGTATGGCACAAACAACATCAGGGAGTAACACTGTAAGCCACAGAGGCAGCTTAGAAATGGAATGAATTTGTAATTTTGATAGTGTCTGTATAGTGTATATAGTGCGAAAGAGTCTTCTTGCAGCATATGTAGGAAAAGCACTGATCTGTTCATACTAAGAGCATCGGAATAGCTTTCAAGCAAAGGATTCCACAATGGAAACAATAGTTGTCAGTGAGGACATACGAAGGGGCAGCTGATTCTCAATCTGCGGCACCGTCGATGTTAAGAACTGACCATTACAGTGTTTCGAATATTGTTGTGGCGCATATTCTGATGCACAATTGACAGAACTTTGCATTTTGTTGTAGAAGACTGTACCTGAATGAGCAGAACGTGGTCAACGGCTTCCATAAGCTGGTCGATCACCTCCTCAGCAGACGAGCGGATCTTCTCGTTCGTGGACCCAAGATTCGAGGCCAGCGCGGGGATGAGGGTGTTCAGTCCGAACAACAGTCGCTCCCCAGCACGGCAAAAGAGGGCCTTGAGGGTCTGCGCACGCAGAGACACAGGGAACGGTGGGTCAAAAGTGCGAAGGGTTTGGACACATGCAAAAGCGCTGTCTCAGCTCAAAATTGACTGCATGTTTCAGAGGACGCTGCTGGGGAGCTTGGCGTTGAATGATCGTAGCTGGAGGGCGGGATCCTATAATCTGCGCTGCCGAGAGGTTGTTGCCAGGGTTAACATTTAACAGCGCTCTTCTGTTCCACCTTTCCAGAAAGAGCTTTATGCGCGCCTGGAAACGGGCAGGCGATCTGCAACCTGAGTTCATAATCTCACGTCCGGAAATTTTAGGCATCCGACAAACCCCAACAATCAAACGTCCCGTCCCCTCGCGCCCCAAGTCTCGAAGTTTCGGAATGGGACATTTCGATGCTGCTACACTGGTCTTCTGGGTGGTTCATGTGGGAAGCAGTGGCTTCCAAAAACCTTCCTGCACTTCGTAATTCCCTTCTCCCTTCTCGCGCCCCGAATGCTCACCTCCAGAGCCACGATGATGACTTTGGAGTTGCCGTCGCTCAGCCTGTGGGTGATCTGGTCCATAAGGGGCAGGGCCAGGCCGTCCCCCGCACACGCCAGGGCGCCCGCGGCGCCCGCGATGGCCTTCAGCCCCGCCATCCTCTCCCTCCAGTCCTTCGACGACACCTGGTTGAGCGCCCCTTCCAGCTCGCCGCCCTCCCCCTCCTCCGATCCGGGGCCCCGGGCCCTTGTTGGTGGCGTGTGGCTCCGGTGCCTGCGGGCCTCCCGGGGGCCAGCAGGGGGCCTGGGGATGGCATCAGAGCCATCGGAGATCTGTTTTCTGAGCGTGGGCACCCGGCGCCGATCGGGGGGAATGCGGTAGGGGCCGTCGGGGCTGGCGCTGGATGGGTAGGAAAGGCTGTCGGGGCCGGTGCCGCCGGAGGAGGTGCGGGAAGGGGGGCTGATTGAGGGAGTCAGGGGGGAGAGGCCCGTGCTGCCGGCCAGCTGGCGGACCTGCGGGCGGGGGTGCGCGTGGGTGCAGTCAGTGGCCGCCCGTCGTGGTCCGAATGCATGGGATACAAATCCATGTGAAGGCCGTCGTGAATGAAGCAAAGGTGCTCTTGAGAGCGAAGCAAAATAGTCGTACGTTATGATGTTTACTTGGCTTTGTCGAACACCTTGGAATGGATCTACAGTCAAAACTGATGTCGACATGCTGCTGATAATGCATTGGTTTGATGCTTTTGCAAACTATCCTATTCGGGTGATAGTGCAGTGTTTCTGAATCAAAAAGGAACTTGTTAGATTGGGTGCAACGTTTGGTGCTTTATGGCACTTGATCCAGCGGGCTTTGTCCTTAAGGGGAACACACTCCATAGGAACACGGGGATGACCTGAGGGGCCCTGTCCAGCCCCATGACTGCTGTGCACTTGTGTCAAAGACAAAGCAGCGACTGAAGTTTGCATTCTGAAAGCAAAGATGCCTTGGGGCGGGCAACAGAAGTGCTGATGAGGAGGCCCTGAATAAGAATAATCCCTGGTGCATGGTGTGCCGTGCTTTTCTTGATGCTGTGCAGTTCGTTCTACCATGCGCAGAATGGGTACTGCGGACACATCTTTCTGCACCCCTGTATGACAGACGCGTCCAATTCCCGAGCACACATCTGGATGTGGTCTGCAAATACTAAGGGGGTTTGCATGGCTGAATGCCCACACACACTGCTCACAAAATCAGCATCCAGTTCCTACCTAACCATAACCATTGCCGCCATCACTACCTGGGAACGTGAATGCGCCTTCACCGGCAGTGGAGGGACGCTCCTGGCTTCCAGCACCTCGTGAACCTTCCGCTGCTTTGTTTCCGATCCCAGCTGCGAAACGAGCCTCTCAAACCCGGCGGAGCTGCCCACCCACCGCCGCACGTGCCATATCAGTCGCTTCCCATATGATCGAGTATCCTGGGACCCCTCCTCTGTGAAGGCAACTGCAGTCTTAAACACACGCTCCAGGATCGCCATGGTTGGGGCTTGCCCTGTCCTGCCACTCTCCACGTCAAGCACGTCGTCAAGGCACGCCGCAACCTTGGAACGAATAACCATTGACTTGTTGCTCGCATTGGCAAGCAAGGTGGAGAAGGCCCTGGAATTGGAGACATTGTCCATCAATAAGGATATTGCCTTATCAGCCTCTGCCACCAGGAACGTGTCACGACCTGAGCCTGAAACATGGGCCAGTGCCAAGCCAAGTCAAAACATTTTGGTGGGTGGCCTTCACCGGTGCAGCACATTCACAGCAGTTCCCTACTTTCCAATGCAGGTGAGGTTCACGTGCACATCATTGGCCCCATACATGTTGGGCTTGTAGTCTTTGGACATATTAGAGATCTACCGGTACAAAATGCAATAACCACAGCAATTTCTCCCAGAGCTGATGAACAACAGCCACAACCCATCGATGAAAGGTACATGGAAATGAGGACAGCCTTCGTTTACGAACAGCTCAGCCCTTCCACTTATTTTGATAAGTGACTGCTTATTGTGATAGGCCATTAATGTGATCATCGTGGGCCATACAGCCCCCTGTCGCTAAATCCTTGGAGCAGATGCAGATCCTTGCTCTCATCGTCCCCACCGGTTTTCCTGCCCATCGTTCACAGGTTCAAAATGTGCGCAAGCACGGATCATGTCTGCAAATGGTGCACATGCAGGAACATTATGCACGACGGGCAATCCTCCTGCCCCTCTGCAAAACAACCTGATCGACAACTGCAGCAGTGGCTCCTAGGCCCCTAAATTTGCTTCGATTCTTCAGAACACAAAACAACAAGAACACCACAGCGCCCCACGATCATAGGATGGATCACGAACGAACAATGATCGGATGCCGCTGTGCCCATCATACCTCCCCAGGCGCAAGGGCCTTGTTTTGCCCTGCGTTTTCAACAAAAGCAATCAACCAAGCGCGCGCTACAGCCCCCACCTGCGTTGGCCGCCTCCCCGGCCTTCTTCAGCAGCACCGGCAGCACATCGTCCACCACTCTGTCCATCCCCCGGCCCAGGCACGGCGCCATCTCTTGAAACAGCACCATCGCGTTGCGCACCGTCGAGCTGCGCAGCATCTCCACCGCCGGCAGCGCCGCCAGCGTGAACTCCCGCGCAGCCCCCCTCACCACCTCGGGGTGGTGCGCGACAAGCCTCCGGCCCTCGTTTAGCGCATCGTAGTGGTCCCGCCAGTCCAGCTCCTTTTTCTTGGCCGCGTTGCCAGCCTGCAGCCGCGCAATCACTCCCCGCATCGCCTCCTCAGGATTCTTCACAGGGGTGAGATCCTCCGCCCTGAGCTCCTCAACCCCCCGCAGAAGGCTGCCGCGGCTGGGCGTGATCGGGCTCGACACGCAGCTCCCAGCGCCCCCGCCCCAAATCCCCTGAGACTCCCCCCTGTCGAAGTTACACCCCTCTAGTTGAGCTGAATCCGATGCATCCCACATCTTCCCACCGCCATCGACATCCACAGCCAGCGGCCTCCTAGCGCTGATCCCTTCGCCGATCGATTCACGATTCCGGATCGCATCCGACCTCACGCTGCGCAGCCCCGCTGCCGTCGATGTGCGCCCGGCCCTGACATCGATCGCGGATGGGTCGGACGACGTGGGCGCCAGGCGGAATCCGTGGAACGGCCGCGCATCACAGGCCCGGGGGCCCGGGCGCTGCAGCACGGCGTTGGCGCTGTGCACGCGGCGCGCCTCCTGCTGGCGGCGCTTCAGGATGGCCAGCCGCTCGTTCTTGCTGGGGCTCCAGGTGTCCAGGCGGCCCTCAGCGGAGTCCTCCCGCTCCAGGCCCCCGCCCTGCCTGCCAGATTCGTGCCGGCAGGCGTATCTGTCGCCCGGCGCTCCGTCGAGCGGAAGGCGCCCATGTGCGGCTTCGGGATCATCCCGGTGATCGCCTGGACGCAGCGGGAACCAGCAAATCAATGTGCCAATAAGCCAATGAATCGACGCACCAATAAGCCAATGGCGCTTCAAGTGCTGAGGAGGCAAAGCGGTGGGCTGATGTCTCCCACCCTTCCCCTGGGGTGCTCACAGGAAGCGCGGACTGCGTAATTGCCTCCAGTTCAACGGCGCCCACCAGTAGAAAACAGCCTGTTTGCGATGCCAGCTGCGATGCCATTTTGACACAAATTGATGCCATCACAGCCCCTTTTATGCCATTGCACTCACTGTGATGGCATCAATTCGTGTCATAATGGCATCGCAAACACGGCGTTTTCTACCAGTGGCCCAGACGCAGCCTCGACAGGGTTGATCTCCCAAGGAGCTCCGAATCGCATATTTTCCAGGACTAACGAATGGCTTAAACAGCCCGCATCAGCATGGGCATACCATATTAACTTCAGAATGCTGATCGATGCGAGGTCAGTGAAACCGACACTGCAGCATCAGATGGATAGAAGTGCAACAGTACTGGATTGCTGCAGTACCCGAGGGGCACAACCACCGATTGACTTTGGTGTAGACGCGCCCGTTCGTGCTGCGTCGCGTGTGGGCGTCGAGGCTGTCTTCGCATTGCAACATGCGGTTCAGGCGGGCCACCAGGTCCTCCTTGCCGCTGGACTTCCCTGTGCGCACAGAGCACATGTCCATTATTCTTATGGTTCACAAGGACATTTCCTGTGACAGGGCATGGCTTCCGAGGTTGCTCGAATATCTGGATATCAATTCGCACTGGGGAAAGCATGACTCATTCTGGTTTTAAGAGCGTGAGCACGCACGCGTTGCAGTGCGCTTATTCCACCGGTTCGCTGCGGTCCAAGCATGGATCGATTGTGAGAGACAAGTCATTCCCTGCCGCAAGGAAATATGCAGATTCCATCGAACCACAGCCCACAGCGTGCCGTATGCCAACCCTGGTATTATAGCGGAAGTCATGAGCGGTCGTCAATGAGTGCACGTCACTTCGGTTCTGAGTTAGCCATCGCACCAAAGACAACACAAGCAGAGTCCTTTCTTTGCAGTGAACCGTGTCTTCGCCAATCATCACCTTACCGCTTGAATTCTTTTCGGCCACGTCGCATGCGCCTCTGCCATGAGCTTCCCCGTAGAACGCTGGAATCTGGGACTCCTCATGATTTCGAGATTCATTGATGGCCGCCAGGCAACCCGACGACCCGCACCTGCTGACGCCACGCGGCGCCGGCACTTCCCATGGGATCTTGCCCTGCGTGAAAATGCTGCATTGGCGAGACGGTGTCTCTGCGATAGGCTCGCCGCCGCCGGAGCAAGCCTGTTAAGAAAAAGGGGAGTGTCAGAAGACGTGCGCAAACGTTGATTACGAAACTTCTTCAAGCAAGTAAAACATGGCTACTGGGACGGCACTACAACTATTCGTTGAAGAGTTGTACACGCATAACTATTGGTCGAAATGCAGATTCACCTGGTTCAATAATTGATCCTTTCACAAGAGTAATCTGCTGCTTATGGAAATTTTGTAGCATATCAATTTGATGAGTTTGGTCACCAACTCTTCAACATATATTCAGTGTTCCGTTTCTCGAATGAAGCCATGGCCGTGTGCCTAGGTGTTTCCTGTGCGTTTGGAATACAGCGACGTCAGGAGGAGTGCGCCATCTCGTAATTGTCCATGGAAACTGCTTTTCGGTGTTGTGGATACCAGATACCAAAGAACGGCTTTTTCGTTGTGCTATGATGTAGCAGTAGTTTGCGAGATAATTTCAAGACAAATTTGCAAATGCATTTACGCAGCTTGCCGTGCCAACGCTCCACTGTGGTGGTTGTAAATGCACGTGCCAGTGATTACCCAACACTTGTACGTCTGCTACTGGTAACAAAGCGCAGGAACCGCTGATGGCAGTTATGAATGCGAACCCTGCACTTTGTGATATCGTATCTCACAAGCTTTTCGCAAGGATTTTGTTAGGTTAAATCAACACAAGCTATTTCGTAGGGAACTATATGCTGGCGTTTCGTTTATGATATGGAGAGAATAGATGGTGGCGAACAAGCCCTTGACACGGTGGTCAAATTTTGGGCAATAATGCGAGATCACTCTGCGCCCTGTTCCTCTGTACGGCAATTGCACGTTTATTGCAAAAGGAAACCTCATCACATGGTTCAATCTCTTTCATTGATCTAAGTGACCGCAATTACGGAAGAAGCTTTGTATCATAAGCATTCCTTCACTAGCAGGAAAAGGACAAAATAACACGTTCTGCGAACACATTTGTATGCATTTCATCAGTGTTCTGCACGCTGAAAACACGAAAATAACACAAACCCGTAAGCTTTGCACACGTCTGAACACGTGTTATTTGGACCTTTTTCCTAGTGCTTCGTGGAAAGCTGGTATTGGACGACCTGGAATTCTACGAATCCTTCGCTGTTGATGAAAGGCCTCCTCTTGCTCCTCTTCCTCTCCGATATCATCTTCCTGACGTCCGACGACACACGAAGCGACGCCAGAAGGCGATTGAACTCGTTCTGCCCAACGCAGGAATCGACGACAATTGCCGCCTCCAGTGCAGCCGCCCGCACCCTATCTTTGGTGTCTGACAGGCACTCAACCATGGCGGCCAGAACTTCCTCGAAGCCCATCTTGTCCTTGCTGCAAGTCATCATCGCCTGGGGGCCCGCCACTGTGTGGGTATCAGCGCGCAGAGCGATAGACAAACATCATCGAAGGACGCCGATGCCGAAATTGCGAGCTCGCCGTCTTAAAGCTTTGGATTCGTTTGTTGCACAACTGGGGGCATACGATGTCAAGCGGTTTGACGTGCGCATGTTTGGGGTGTCGGCGTTGGTGTGGACGATCAAAAAATTATGGGGGGCGACCAGAATCGAAAATCCACAAGTTTTCCCGGCATGACCCGCAGATGCTATAGGCGGCGGCGGCGGCGGCGGCACGTGTCTCACGCACAGCTACTGTCAAACATGGCAAAAAATTGCAAAGAGTTGGCGGTTAAGAACGTGACATGCAATTACTCAAATTCGTGTGCCAGTTTGTGCAATCCTGTTTACAAGCAGAGCTGTCACTTATGAAGCAGATCAGCAGCTCAGCTCACCCACATCAGAATCACCCGTCTACTTATCAAAATTGCTAATTGTAAATGGCCATCCATTTCTGAAAATCAACACTGTTTTGGGTGAAATCTGAAGCAAGTATTTTTATGCATCATCGTGGATACAAAGAAGCCTTGCATTGAAGCAGCGCACATGCAATGTTTGTGTAACGTTAGAACCCGCATCCTCGCTCTCCGACATTAATTCTGGGACATTTCTATGTGGCTTCTCAGCACTGCAATAACAAATTCACATATCATATTGCAAATCATCATATTGCACTAAATTTCAGGTGATGAATTCATGCAAATCCACAATTTTGTTGCTCTTCATGGTCTCTCCACGAACCATGATGTGCATGATTGCGACCTCCTCCCTGACCCTCCAGCTGCCGTGCCGGCGCCCCTGCGCCAGCATGTCCAGCACCGGCATCGGTCCCAGGGCAGCCATGAGCTTCCTAAGCACTTGTATGCCCGCCTGCCTGACCATAATTTTATTGTCTCCCAACTTTTCAATGAGCTTCGGCACGAGTCCCCTGCCCGTCGGCGTGAAAAGCGATTTCAGTAAAATGTAGTAATGGTCAGTAGCGCCAGTAACAGGAGTTCATCTGTTTGTCACTGTAATAGAAGTCCACCATGACAATGATATTATTGGCGCGTTTTTCGGTGCCCTTGATATGGCTAGTGCTCCTGAACGGGGGGCCAATGCGCTGCAGGATGCGGCATGTGAAAAGCGCTTGACCAACTATGAGTATGACGCGATCCCCGAAGGACACGAGACGGCACACAATGGCCATAAAAATCACTTCAAACGACCATTTTCGGCATTCAAATGGCCAAAAACTGCAGGATGTGGCGCATCGATGCCAACAGTGCAGCGGCGCACATTGATTCAAATGGGGTGAAATCCTACCCAACTGGCCTTGAATTGCTGCTCCACACTCTTATCAGCAACAGTACGTTAGGTGATGCACTACCGTGGAGAAATTCGGCGGGGTTCTCACCATCAAACCTAATAACAGGTAAATTGGCGAGCGACTTGAGCGCCAGCGTCAACGCGAAGTTTGATCTGATCAGGATCCGATCGGGACTTGAGGCTCCCCATTACCCAAGAAATGGCGAAAGCTCTCTCCCCACTTTGGCCACCAGGTCTCCGATGATCTGCATGCTTGACAGCGAGATCTTGAAGTTTGGGTCTCCAACGAGCGCCATGAGGAAGTCCAGAAGCTCCGGCAGGTTCCGCGCGACATCGCCCTTGCCCTTGGCGTTCAGGAGGGTTCTGTGCAGCGCGTCGATGGCACACGCCCTCACCTGGAGCAGAGACACAGCGTCGGATGAGGATGGGAATAAATAGAGATGTGCCAAGTGCAAGAAATGATAAGAAAATCAAATAGAGCTCAGTCGCTAGGCGAATCCCTTCAGGTAATGCGGTTGGACTTTTCAGCACAAAGTAGTATTTAATTGTTCCATTCTTGCTTAGAAGGGCCGCGCCCCAAGCCCCTTATTCGTGCAACCAGAGTTGTGACGACAGGTTAAATCACTATTGTATTGATAGTAGCTTAGGGGTAGTGCCCTGGTGTTTGGTTGAATGAATGATCATTGAGTTTAGTAATCGAAGGTGAGTTGAAGGTGCGGGGAATTCTAACTGTGCTGCATGAATGACGTTGCTTCTTGAGCCAACCTAGCCTGCATCTCTTGTTGATGTGGACGCTTACTGATTTCGTCCGTATTTGCGGTCTGATTTCGTTCAAATGATTGAAGTGCGCTTGCATTTTGCAATGAAAATAGGAGAAATTTTAGACTGTAGGGGAACACTTACATGAGCTAACGAATATGCAGCCCTACAGAAAATGAATATGGAGTCGGGCGCATTATTTTCAGCGTATTGCATGCTACGTAGATGCCAGTATAGTCGCATTGTTGTTTGGAATCAACTGACAGCATTTAACAAGCGCTCGCAATACTCTTCTGCAGTCAAAGAGGCTTGTGCGCTAAATTTCTGCCGCCACGCTTTGCCAGTGCCCGCGTTGTAATTATTGTCCACAACGCAGTTACAAGAACGCGTAAGGAGCCAAGTAGCTCCTGCACCGAGGGTAATGGGAATGTCCGAATTGACCTGCATACCGGCCAGAGGTGTCTGGATATTGCTGGGACTACGTCCAAGCGGTTGCGAAACCCACGCAGTGTCGCTGTTTTGGGGTTCAGTATGCATATCTGATACGAGACACGCCGGCTCGTTGTGGTGCACATAATCGCTGCTGGGTATGTTGTGCCTCGGGGTATCCTCATGCGCTGTATTCTGTGCTGCTGAAAATTCCAACGTTCAAATTTGAAGTCCTCCGATCGCTATCTTAATGTGAACGAATTATTATATTCTGTTTTGATTCATTGATTGACTAACTAACACACGCACCTTCCAGTTTCCTATGTCTTTCAGATCCGCAACAACCTGAGCAGGGACGAAGCCAAAAACCAGGCCCTCCTGGGCATGGAATCTGTCCAGATCGGACATCTGGATCACGATTGCATCGCTCTGCCAGCAAGAGTCCTCGCAAAGCTGGAAGACCCCGAGACGCCAGTGGCTTGGCCAATTCCTGCGGGCCAACGTGTGAGCCAATTCATTGCATTTGGCATGCTGATTAGTGGAGGGCAGTTTGGAGGCCATCCACAAGCCTGGTCAATATTCTCAGGATCAGAGCAATGTGCACACCAGAGAAACGGTACCAAAATTACACAATGGGCGCCATAAAAATCTACTGTAAAGTACCTGCAGGTAATGAAAGCGGTGGCGCACTTAACTGAATATAAGTGCAAGGTAGCCAACACAAAAGTGAAACAGAGTGTTCAGCAATCTCGAGATTCTGTCGCGGTGGGATCCGCAATTCAAATTCTCTCGGTGCTGCGGACCATGGAGGCTTTCATAGTGGCAATGAAAGTGCATCTGAGGTCCCCAAGTCTGCCACGGGCACTTCCCATGACGATGGCCTATTCTTAGTGCACAGAAAGAACGGGATGAAAGAAAGCAAGTGTTCGCGCTGCGGGGCGCTCTCTCAGCAGCGATACTCGCCAAGCCGCAAGTGCCTCAAATCCTCTATGAGTTAACCAGCCGTAAAAACTGCGACCTATTGGTGGCCAGCTTTCAAACCCAGGGAAAAAAATTCACTGCTCGCCTCCTTGCTGCAGGACACAGGATCTCACTCCCAGCCCAAATAAAATGCGAAAACTGTCCACCATTCTTCCCATGCACTGAAGTACTGTTCTTGGGGTCGGAATAAACAATTAACAAATCGATTTGCTCCCCACTACGCAACTCGTGATGCGTAACGCCCGGGCGCAAAGGGCCCGCGATCCCTCCATCCTCAGCCTCCCACGGCCACCGTGCAAAGAATGACCGACACAACCAAAGAGACCCAAACCCGCAGACGAAAGCAGATCCCACCACTGCCCACTCCCCTCCCCTCCCACCCACACTCTTCAGACAGTTGGCGATGGCCCTCTCCCCGCAGGCCAAAAGTTGCGAGCCCCTGCAGCCGCTGAGCCGGTCTCAATCACCCACAGCACGCAAAAGGCGACACAAAGGCCGGCCGGCACGCCAAGGCCGCTCGAAAACCGGCAAGGGCTTTCGCTCAACTCACTCGCAGTCGCTTACGGCCGCCTTCTGACCGCCTCTCCAGCCGGGTCAAAGGATCGCCTGGCCGCCGCCCCGGAGGCACTCCGCCCGCGCGCCCGTCCCCGCACTCCCCTGCGTGCGGGAGGTCCGCTCGCTGCTGGCATGCCTGCAGCCGGAGGCACCTGGGAGCTCGCGGTGCTGGGGGGGTTGGCGCCGAAGGTCCGCGGGCGGTCAACCTGAATGAGATGACGTCCGGGCCCGCATGGCGCCCTTGGCGGTAGGTGTTGGTAAGCCAATGGAACGAGTTTTCCTGCAATGGTGCCGGAATTCCGGGCCTGGGGACTTACCATCGTCATCGCTCAATTTTGCATAAATTGGCAATGAGGTAATCGCCAGATTGCAATTTCAAATTGGCCAAATTTGCCAGAGCAAAGCAGTGTCTGTGATCAGTTCGTTGAAGTCTAATGCTTACACAACAAATTCTATGAATGCATACAAACACCTATGAGATTGTTACCCTCATGAGCTCTAGGGCATCTATGGTTCTCATGGAACAATCACATGCACTGCTTTGCTCCAGCTGAATATGGAAACGATGGATGCCTCCCTGCCTCGATGTATAAGATTAATTGATGATGATGGCTGTCATCACCATCATGAATTCTAACGTAACAAGGGAAGCAGGTAGCTGTCAGCTTTGGTTTCCCCCGAGCACGCCAGTGTCCATGATTTTCTCATCGAAATCTAATGTGAAAAAAACAGGAAGCCCAGAATGCGTCAATCCCTAAATTTTGGGAAGCTGTTACCGATGGCAATGCATGGCCCGAGTCAGCAGCTTTCCAGCATCGACACAAAGTGCTGCAGGATGTGTGATTGCCAAAACAACAATAATCCGTTCGCTCGGGAGTGGTCAGGTGCAGCTCGATTTGTTGCGCAACTGAACTTCCTGAAAAGATCCTTGTTAGCATTGATCAAGGTGACATTAATGCGAAGTGGCATTGGCTAGGAAGAATATTACAAATACCGCATCAGCCTCCATGACGTCACTTTCATCTGGCAAACATTGGGACTTAAATTCCTGCTACGCCCACCAGCAGTCTTGTCACTGATGGCCGAAACACAGAGCGCACTTCGTTCTTATACGCAGAAATAGAATTTACAATTTTTCGCGCCAAAAAATAGCAAAGACACGCAATTTAGAGCATTTGCACATAAATAAAGTACGTAAGGACGCATGCACTTCAGGGAGTGGCATCCTGGCGCTCACGAGTTTGCAAGAAACGGCCTTTTCGAAATCGCCATTGCCACTCAGCCGAAGGCGAGTTGAACGCTGTGTTCCTGGTGCTCGAGGGGTCGAAGGATTGGTCATTGTATGCGACCTCATCATGTAAACTGGCTGTCCAAAAGCGCCGTAAAAATACGTCAACATTGCCACAAAATTCTCTTCTGTGTGTTTATGTTTCTACGCCTAAAATCTTGAACGCGAATAGCAAGCTGCCCTTTCTAGCACTCCAGGGACTAATAGAATGCCGTGAGAGATGAAAATGCTTCCGAAATGGGCGCAGGGATTGAAGTGGCCAAGTTGTGTTTCTAAACATCTTGCCAATCCAGTTATTTTTAAACATTTTTGCCCTTTTTGGCAAAATACAATGTGGCCGTTGCAGCCCCTCGATGCTATCATTTGCGACGGCCATCCGCAGTTCCAAAAACGAAACATTTGCTTGGCGGGCTCTTTATGTTTGTTTCCTCCGGGGCTGTGTGCACAACGGCAGAGTCGTTTCTGGGGCGTTCGCAGACTGTTTCTCAAAGGATCCGTTTTCGCGGCTGTTCACTGCTCGTATTCTGGATGTTGGCAAAACTTTTTCAACTTAGTAATGTGTTCTATGAATGTGTATCCAATGTTTTGGGCGTTTCCAACTCGTTTTTCCCCACTTGATTTTATTGCCAAATTTTCTGAAACTTTTCGCTTATTTCGTAGAATATATCTTTATTCTACTATTTTGAACAGTTCCGTTCCACCCCAATCGAGCGCAAACCTTAAAATTGTAAACTAGATCAATACGTAAGTGCTGCGCATGTTGCATGAAATATGGTTATTAGATATTGAACACAGCATAGATATTCCAATATTCTGACCCAAGGGGGTATGCCCACGGCACATGACCTTTGTTTATTTCTCCAAGAGTAATTGGAACGGCTCACTTGTAGATCTACCACGGTTCTCTAAAATATCTGACATATGCAACCTCCATTCTGCTAGTTACACATACTCACATGTTGGCTGGAGGCTGCGAGCCAGGCGAAGGCTTTATGTCCTGCTTGAGAAGTGCTAACGACAGTACGACAGTTCTAATGCTTTCAATATTGGCTTTCAATATTGAAAGCACTAGTCAGTCAGTCGATCAAGAAGCAGTCCATACTGAGGTAACGAGGCAGCTGTCACCCTCCCATTTGGCCCTGGGAAACCTCTGCGACTGATGCGTCCGACGACAAGGTACCTCGGCAAGGCCCCACTCACGACCCGCAAGCCCCTAATTCTCCAAATCAGATCGTACTGCACCTTTCACTCCACCCAAATGACATGTCTCTGTCAAGCTTTGATTTTGCGTTTACGTTCACGTTTTCGCTTTTACGTTTATACGCGCAAACGTAAATATTGCAAAAGGCCCTAGTTTTACGGCTATTTTTACGTTCTTACGGCTCTCTGGGACACCGAGGTTACACGGTGAAAATTTCGTGCAACGATCAGAACTCCGCCATCTCCAGCACCCGCAACACAATGTGCACCTCGCCCTTGGCAAGGACGACGATGGCATGTAACAAAATGCTCGTGTTCTGCCCCTTCCAGGGCGTCTGGCTTCCATTGTCCGGACTCCGTAATTCTATATGTACCGTTCTTATGTACACCGGGCAGTTTTTACGTTGTATTTACGTATTTTTACGCATTCTGGAGCTATTTTTACGCATTAAAGCATAAATACGATCAGTTCTTACGGCGTAAAAAACAAGCCTGGCTTCTGTGATATGTTACACACAACATCATACATCGTTCCATAGACGTCGGCCGTGCTTACAGCCTTGCAAAATTATTGGTTGCACCACTTTGGTGAGCGCCCGTTTTCATGTGGGATACGCGCCCGTCCCCACGTGTCCCATAGGCCCCTCACCTCACTGGCCTCATGGACCCTGCGAGGGGCGTCCAAGGGACCCACGGCCCAAAATCTTGGGACGTGGCGTCGTGTCCTTGGACGCCTTTCGCGGGGGCCGTCACTTTTCCGGGAAGGCTTAAAACCTGCCCAGGAGAAAGGCGCCCCTCGTGGGGTTTGCGACTCGGGGCCAGGGCCGGGCGCAGGCGTCCTTGCTCGGGGGTGCGTAGGTGCGCCGCCGCTTCCCCTGGCCTCGCTGCCTCGGCCGGGCCTCGCCTATAAGAACCACGCCGGGGCTGCCGCGTGGCGTTTTCCGGCAGCCCTGAGGGGATGTTGCCACACGGTGCCACATGGCGTGCTACCGCAGCGGATGTTACAACATAATACCGTAGGTGGTGGTCTAGTAAGGGATCGGTCGGGGAGGCGGAGTGCGGACTTGGTCGGGGCCCTCCTCGGTGGGGGCAACAAGCGAACGACCCCCTGCTTGAAAACCAACTACGTGTGTGTCTGCCAAGACTAGGGATTTGGGGACACCTCTCTATTTTAGTCGACTTTCTTCAATTTTGACGAGCTCAGCCGTGGTCGGCGCGGGATCGACACCCACCAGAAGTGCTCATTTTTTCGCGCCTTTTCTCCTCTCAGCGACCGAAAGTCGGCCAGCGCCCTGTTGGGGGGCCGTCATTTGGTCATGGGCCAATCGTCGGGCGGCCCTCCAAACAGGGGCGCCAAGCGCGCAGTGGCGGGCAAATTGCCCCT